TTAAAGATCCCCCTTCCCGCGTTCCCCCATTCCCCCATTCCCGCATTCCCATTTAGTCACGATCTACTATTAGGCGGTTGTGACTAACAAAAAATGACAACTATTTTTCGAAACTGTCTATATAGACCATTTTAAAATTCCGGATATTAATTTAAATAAAGAGATAGTTATAGCCTTAAGTGACGTAATCAGATGAAATTGCTGACAATGATCATGCAAACCAGATACATGCGCTCTACGAAAATGTTTAGTGATGAAATATTATATTAGTTTATTATTCGGCAATACATTATATGTAATATCCTAATTCCTTACGCTATTTACAAAACTGTTTAAAATGAACGAAGTGTAACCGAGCTTTTAAGCTTCAGCCCAATTAAAATGCTTGCGTCTAGCTCAGCCAACCGCCCACAGTTCTTTTATTATAATTATGTTATTATGTTGTATATATAGGCTAGTGTTATTATATCTCTGTGCGGTATTTCGACACGAACAATCTAGTTCATTTCCTGTTGTTCTCTGTTCCTGTTTGAATGAGCATAATTTAATGCGTGATTAAATAACAGCACATTTATCTAAATTATTGTTAAATTTCGTGTTCATATAACAGATTTATTTAATATTTGAAATCATTAGGATATTAAGTTGTCGTCTCAACAATACTTCAAGATGTGCGAACGAAAAGTAAGTTAGCCTACTTTATAGTTTGCCTTGTTAGAGTAGAGTAGCTATATATATATATATATATATATATGTTGCTATATTAGGCTAGTCTTGCAAATAATAAATAAATAAACATAATTCTAAGTGTTTTGATTTCTTTGGAGTACTGGAATGAGATTATGAAAGAAATCTCTGTCTGAACAAAACGTGGTTTCCTAATGCTCGATTAGGATATTTACAGTACTGACTATAACTGTATATATATTATAGATGTCTTAAAACATCAGTTTAGTATTTACTCACAAGTCCACCACGACAATTCAACTTTTTCATATTAGCCTTGAGTAAAATACCCAATGTATACAAAAGGGGAGTGTGGGTGGTTAGTTGTATCGCATTTTTGACTGGCTACAGCTTTCGCTGTACTTTTGGTGGATCTTTATGCTGTCAAACTAAATATACCGTGCAGAATTTATACGAATGACAATTATATGCGCACGTTCGGACATTGGCGTTTGCTTGCAGTAGGCTCCCTACAGTTGCGTGCGGGATGTTCGCGCGGGACCATACGTGAACTATCCCACGCAACCGCATGATCAAAACAAAAATTGACCAGGCTTTTTAAAAAAAGCAATTTCTGAAAGGTTTCTAATGGGAAAAAAACGTTGAATAATAGTGCCAAATCACTTGCGAAGTCTATACAGCAATAAATTATTCTACATATGACACGAATATCACTAGATCAAAAAATAGCTACGAAACAAATTTTTTAAATTTTTAAAAATATACACTGTCAACTGTAAACATTTGCAAAATTGCACATCAACGTTTAAAAAGTTGTTACTTCTCAAGAAAACGTTCACGTTTCTAGCCGTGTTTCTACAAGATTAATTAATTAAAGTGATTATAGCCTAATTGTTCATTTTTAGCTAAAAGTACAAAACCAAACATGAAACAACGTCCACCTGTTAGGCTGTTACAGCTCATAGATTGAGTAAACGGCAGGGTTCAATTTGCTTCAACCTTAACTAGAGGTTTTGTTGTTTTCATCGATTTGATCCTTCACAATAATCCTTGGCTGTCCATGGCACTCAAATAAATCGAAAAGTTGACAAAAACAAAACAGCAAAAACAATATTGCCGCTAGATTTTGGTGAATGAGAGCTCGTTCTGTGCCCGCGTACAATCTTTTACTAGTCAGCGACGCTTTTCAATAAGGTGAATTTCTCGAGTTACACGAGCCTATTTTCTAACTTTATTTGCATTTTACTCATTAGTTTCATCGGTGACGTATCTTCAAATTTTGACCATGAATTTATTTTGCGGTAAAGTTTACAAATTTCCATTTTTAAAAAAATCTTTAGTGTGGAAATTTCGCAATAAAATTTTCGCTTTTAAAAAATCACACACTACAAAATATTTTTAATCTTTCACCACAGTTGCAGAGAATCATTCCCAATTGATATATGAAATAAAAAAGATAGGTCACCGACTCCGTTTTTGACATAGCGGCACATTTATGGGTTAAATTGGAAGGCTTTATGCTGTCGTCATGTTGCCATTGGAACACTGACGTTGTCGAAATCTAGTTCGAAATATTCCTTATGTGACCAATATTGCCACCGAGCCAAAATGAATTCGCGTTTTGCACGAATAAGCCTGTTTTACGGAATTATTGCGTAAACAAGAATAACTGTAGGGAGCCTCCTTAAGAGGCTGTCTCTCTAAGAACCGACCAATGACTTTCGGCACAAAAAATGAAATTCTTCGTTACTTTCACAATTAAATGTATTTACCCCAAAAACAAACAAACACTATTTGGAATTTGGAATTTTTATTAATTTTCAAAATTTCAGCGATTTTTCGGATTTTTTTCACCCACCAATGTGAAAATTATTCTACTTTGAAACTTGTCTTGTTTTATGATGCTTTTACAGAACGATTATGACAAACGTTAGCGATAACAACCACCGGGTCTAAATACGGCTTTGTATGCATATCAAATTCGACTTTAAATTTCTCAAAAGTGGCACCTAACTGGATTCAGTGACTAATATGCTTAAAAAAATGGAAGTTTGAATTAGTACCAATATCCATAATGAAACTTGTTACCAACTGCGATTTGAAGACTCAACAGCCTCTGAAATTTAATACAATTTGGCTATTTTGTTTAGCTTCAATTATAGCGGAGTTGAGACGTCAGAGCTTCCAGTCACTTGTAAAATGCGCTGTTGTTCCGTTTTTTTTACACAAGCTGTTAATATCATCGTAGTTAAGCGATTTTTCTGTGTTCATGAACATCACAAGTGGATTTAATTCAAAAACTACACATTCTGAGTTCCGCCCACTGCATAGTCCCGCCCATCTTACAGTAATGTATTTATTTTAATTATTTGTCAAACTCACGTATTTACACCAGTGCAAATATATGACTTTGACGTTTCATATCTTCGGTTCATTCAATGCTATGAAGACAAAAATACCACGTTCGATTCAGTGTAACAATATGTCCTCATTCATAGCGATAGTTTTAGTCGATGTCAACATTATAGCGATTTATGAGCTTTGAAAGTCAAGCGAATTCGTGTATTATCAAATTACGCAATTGTCTGAACAAAAATATAGACTAGCCATACCTTTCGCCGAACAAACTTCGGCCCCTTCAGACGTAACTTTGTAATAGGCTTGTTCCAATCGCTATCAAAAACACGATTTAGAGTGTCATTTACGAGCCTGTATCTTCAAATCTGCACTTTTATCACGGTATCACATCTTCAAGCAACAAATGTTGGATTGATATTCGTTGTTCATTCTTCAAGACGAAGCGATTTCCGATTCCAGATAAAGATTAAAGAATTCAACGCTTAATTCTCAATTAATACATTCGTAATCTTTTGGTTAGTGTATGCCATCACTCGATATATCGGTACAATTGCTAAAATAACAATAGTTTATATTATAAATACGGCAACAGTAACTTCTAAAATTAGCACTAATTATTCTAATTCTGTACTCCTGTCAATCAAAAATTCAAAATCAACATTCTGACCAATCAGATACCGCCTGCTACGCAGGCTACCAATCAGAATGCTCCGGCACCCAGCTGCCGGGGAGAACTCAGAATGTGTAGTTTTTGGGCAGGCGGTATTTCCAAGCTTCCCATTCTCTCGTGCCCGCGAATACCGCCTGCTACGCAGGCTAAGGTAAACGTGGCACGCTTTCGTATTAAAATTAGCTACTCGGGAAAACCACGGAAATTATTGTCAATGCTGATATTTATTAATCTAAACTCTGTGTAGGCATAAAAATTAGCCAAATGCAAATACATATAATTTTAAAATTGTTCAACCAAATTTTATGATTTTTTCGCCCACGAACGTGAAAGTTATTCTACTTTGAAACTTACCTGGTTTTATGATGCTTTTACAAAACTATTAGTATTATGGCAAACTTTAGCGATAACAAGCACCAAGTCCAAATACGGCTTTGTATACATATCAAATTCGACTCCTAACTGGATACAGTGACTAATATGGTTGAAAAAAGGGAAGTTTGAAGTACCAATATTCATAATAAAACTTGTTAAGCCCGTTTTCCACTCACGTATTTTGCCGCCACTGGCGAAAAATTTCGCCACCGAAAAAGTTCATTTGTTGTTCTTTCGCGCCGTCAACGAAAGGTCAAACAGAAGTTGAAAATTTTAAGCAATTGTAGCAGGAGAACAAATTTCTTCAGCGGCGAATGAATGTAAAAAATGATTTCATTGTCAAAATTTTTCGCCAGCGGCGGCGAAATAACGGAGTGGAAAATGGGCATTACCAACCGCGATTTGAAGACTCCAGAGCCTCTGAAATTTGTTACCTTCAATTATCGCGGAATTGAGACATCATAGCTTCCAGCCATTTGTAAAATGCACTGTCGTTCCGGTTTTTTTTCCACACAAGCCGTTAAGCCATTTTTCCGTGTTCATGAACATCAGAAGTTGTTTTAATTCGAAAAGATTTGGCTCGATGCAGCGAGGTAATCCCTCTGTAATTTTGGTTACAGAATCCTGGTTATCGTCTGATATTCCGGATTCTATTATTAACATAGGAAATACTTACAATTCATATCGACTCGATAAACCTACGCCAGGTGGTGGTATTTTGGCATACATTAAATCTGACCTACCTGCTAAACACCTTCCTGAACTAGAAGAGGAAGGAAAAGAAGCACTCTGGCTATTATTAAAACCAGAACACCGAGACCCTACAGTTCCGTCATTGTAGTAGGCGTATACCACCCTCCAGGTCAAAAAAGGGAATGAACATGAGATGTTGGACTACCTAACTCAAAAGATGGACATTGCTTTAGCTGAGCGCCCTTCTGCCGGCATATTTGTAACTGGGGACTTCAACAAGTTGGACTTGAACACTTTGTGTCGCCGTTTCAATCTACGCAAACAGGTCAAGTCGCCCACGAGAGGAAAAAACATTTTGAACCAGATACTTATCAATATGTCGGATTTGTATGACGAAGTTCTTCACATTCCACCCATCGGACGTTCCGATCTTCAATGTTTGATCTTACCACCCAAAACAAGACAGAAGATGCCCCCAGTTTCAAAGAAATATCGACAAATGAAACCAGAGAACTTAAACGTTCTGGGACTGAAAATGAATCTTGAAGACTGGGAGAAAGTATATTCCGAATGGGATGTGGACGACAAGGTCTCAGTCTTTAACTATATCGTTATCTGTATGCTTGATGAAGCCTTACCCGTGAGAACAGTTCGGGCACACTGTACGGACAAACCGTGGATGACCCCCAATATTAAAGCGTTGATAAAAGCAAGACAGAGAGCATTTACGAAAGGGGAGACACCGAAGTATAAAAGTTTACATGCAAAAGTTACCAAGCTGATATTCAACGCTAAAGCTACGTACTACAAATCCAAGGCTGAAGGCAACCATCAATCCAATCCCGCCAAATGGTATAAAACGATTTACAAGCTAGCGGCAGCAACCGAAAATCAACAATCTCTGTCCTCGCCTGACCACGCTGACCTAATGGAAATCGCTGACAGACTACAAAGAAGTTTTACTAAGCCTTGGCTAGGAATTCAACCAGATCTTCCCAGACTTCAAGCGGTAGAGCATTTGCTCAAGGACAGCCACCCACTTCTACCATCCATTGGCCAAGTCAAAACCGTCCTAAAACACCTAAATCCTAGGAAAGCCACTGGGTTGGATAATATCCCTGCATGGTGTCTTAAACGGTACGAGGAAGAATTAGCTCCAGTGGTCCACGATATTGTGATTGCAAGCATGGTTCAATGCAAATATTCCACCTCCTACAAGCATGGAATCATTAGTGCCATACCAAAGATCCGTCCACCCACAGACCTAGATAATGACTTCCGCCAAGTTTCCGTGCTACCACAACTAGCAAAAGTTATCGAGAAGCTACAGCTGCAACTCAATAAATCCAGTTTCAACATCGAAACAAACCAGCACGCCTTTACGGGCGGTCACTCCACCGTGTCTGCCCTTACCTCCATATCTCAGAACTGGTTCGACTCAACGGACAACTCCTCAACCGGTAGACAAGGTGCCCACGCCCTATTTGTTGATTTCCGGAAGGCGTTTGACTTGGTCGACCATAAGATCCTTCTGGACAAGCTTGCTGATATGAATGTAACAAGGAGTTTCTGGTTATGGATAATGAGTTTTCTGGAGGGAAGAACACAACAGGTAAATCTCCTAGGTGTACTATCCTTTACTGCATCATGCCCAGCCGGCGTCCCTCAGGGATCTGCTATCTCACCGACCCTATTCAACATACATACTAACGATATGGAGGAAAGTGTTTCTGAAAAGGCATGTGTCAACACAATCAAATATGCGGACGATTGCACCATGGACACGTGCATAAGATTAGGAGAATCTACCGATTTGCAAAGCGCTCTGGACTCAGTACAAAGTTGGGCTGTGGAAAATAAAATGGAACTGAATGCCAAAAAGACAAAAGATATGTGGATTAACTTCACCGAAGCACCGCCCCCTCTACCACTGCATATAGGAGATGCTATCATAGAAAGAGTCGATAATTTTAAACTGTTGGGAACCTGGTTCCAAAAGGACCTGAAATTGAATAAACATGTCGAGGAGACCACCCGCAAAGCAGCTAAAAACCTGCACTTCCTACGAGAATGTAGAAGAGCGAATCTACCAGTCGAAGTGGGTCTCACCACTTATTTAACTAAAATCAGACCTATCCTTGAATATTGTTCTCCAGTGTGGGGTGGTCTGCCACGATATCTAAAGGACGAATTGGAACGTGTGCAAAGGAGGAGTCTACGAATTATTGGCCTCCCGCATGGTTACCTGCCAACTCTCGAAGAGAAAAGAATTGAAGCCACATCGAGGGAACTCGTTAACATCTTAGGTGATCCAAGTCATATCTTTTATCAACGAACTATGGAACATAATAAACATAACTATAATCTTAGGCGTAGAGACGGTATATTTAAATACGCACCTTTCTCAGGCACTGAACGACACAGAAATAGTTTTGTCCCACGAGCAATGAGACAGGGTTTGCACTAAAACCAAACTTGGTTTTTATTAACTTTTTAAATAATTTCCTAGACTTTTAAATTTTTTACTCCAAATTGTATATATATAAATT